CCAAAATTATCTCTAATAGAACATACCTTCTACTTTTAATGATTTAAATTAAATACAATTAAATTAAAACTTTTATCGCACCCCCAGCAGATATGCACTGTCGTCAAGTTATCAGTTTGTATAGTCAACAACAAAGGCATGCTTTGCAAACCTGGGCAATATTCAGGGTAAAAATAGGTAACATTCTCAAAGCCAATACTAACACTAAATGCAAAATACTGGATAGAAAAAAAAAAGAAAGTTACAGCAATAATGTGACGTCCCAAATACAAAAAGAAACATTGATCTATCTTCTAGTATATTGGGTTAAATCTTTCATTACCAAAAAAGGCCAGAGTAATTAAGGTTTTTTAATGAAAACACAAACTAAAAGGGCATCAAAGAAACAAACATCTCAAATACACTAGCTTTATGCATTTGGGATGCATAAAGCATTGGGAAGCTCCAGGCAGGATTACCACTACACTAGTTTTATGCATTTGGGATGCTGCAGGCAAGATACTACTTACATGATAATATGACATCAGAGAACGAGTAATAACAAACTTGACAATGTAAAGGTTTACTGTTTCAGATTTTTTCTAGATATTTCAGTAGAGTCAGGTGTTTTATGGGAGTCGAGCAGTATAAACTAAAGTAAAGCTGTAAAGGGGAGGACGGTCAGGGAGTATAATTCTTGATTAAAACTCTTGCATGCCAACTTTACTAGATATACTTTCCATTTGGACAGTTTGACGTTGTAAGGTCTCGACAATGTAAAAAGTGGCTTACTGGCTTTGCACCTTATTCCCAAACATCCACAAAAAATTGCCATAATATTGAACAAACCAATCAAAAGATAATGCATGAAGGGTATGCAACCTCAAAATCATGTGCTTTGCTCAAAATTTACATCAGATTGACAGAATTAAAACAAATTCAAGAACATTGCCATGTCACATAAAATTGCAAGTCAAATCAACACTACAAATGTTTCACCTTAACAAAAAAAAAACTAGTAATATTGTCTGCCTTCTGACACTAATTTAATTTAATCATTGGCAACCAATTTAAGTCGGAAGTACCTTTGTGCTTGAGATCAACTATCACTTGTTTCCATGACTTCTGCTGCTTCCAGCAGGATGAGCCAAAGTCTTTTTACTGCTAATAAGGTGATCATCCTGTGAGAAGACACATATCAGTGTTAATGAAGCAAGGTTTATCATATGACTCTAAGATGTAAAGCTTGGAGTTCCACAGACTCAAGTCCAAAACTCAAGAAAGATGCATTGGTTACAGAACGAAGAATGGTAACGTGACAACGTCCATATACCTTACAAAGAGATGCTGCAGACTCAGACGGCACTGTTTGAATTGGAATGTGATCCAACGATTGGAAGGCATCCAAGGCATCTAATGTCTGCTGCCAACCACAAAGTGCTAATGCACCACTAGCCGAACTCGAACCACTATCACCATAACCAGCAGCAGCGACATTTCCATTCACCCAAGGACAGAAACGGTTGTGATGCTTAATCGGATCAAATTCTGTAGGTTCATCATAGTTACTCTCTCCGTTTGGAGGGCCTGTACAGCAAGTATTTCAATGTCACATGCAAGAAAAAAAAACACATTAATATGCACCATCCCATACACAATAAAAAATACTTAACAAAGGTAACAAAGAACCTCTAAAACAAACCCCAAGAATTGCAATTTCTTCCGGAAACATGTAATAGCCAAGGATCTATCCTAGTAACTGTCTTAAGCAGATTTTAGTGATATCCTATCTTCTTAAGCAGATTTCTGTCCATGTTAAACCAACATAATAAATTCCGTACAAAACTCATCTCTCATGCCTAAGATCATATGTTTAAATTTGTATATGTCCTTGATACGGAAAAAAGGTGAGAAGTGGGGAGGGGTTGTCTTTCTCATCACCTTTAAGGAAAATTGTTTGGACAACAACTTTTTATTCTCATACTTTAAGGAAAAATTATTTACGAGAATACGGCACATCAAGAACTGAAAATATTAAGAATTGAACACAGAAAAGAAGACATAAAATTAAACAGTGAAGTGCCAAACAAATCACCTATCCCATTTGCAGCTACATATTCCGACTCAAGAACTGTGCAATCATCATTTATTGATGCCTTTCCACCTTGACTAACCTCATCTTTGGACACTTCATAACCAGAATACACTACAGCATTGCAGGAATGTGATGGATGAGCACTATCGTCATGAGCTATCACACGATTTTCGCTCATCTTCTCACCACTTTCAACCGAGTCAGCTTTAGCCACACCATCAATTTTTGAGCCACTATCATCCCTTCCAATAGATCGAGACATCATATCATGACTATCGCCGTGAGGATCCTCTCCATCCACTTCTTCGGGAACAAATTCCCCCATAAGCCCAGGATCTGGAGCAGATTCACCCGTTTGCCCCTGATTTTCAGTAACTTCTGCAATTAATTCAGCTTCTCCGACGACACTGTCAGTTCTCTGAAAAGATACAGCAGTTCCATGGATCTCAGCCTCATGACTGGCCCCCATTCCAACACTTCCTCCACTGACTCCAAAACTGAACCGGTCCCTAGCATTAGCAGTCAGTGTTTCAGCATTTACTATTTCTTCACCATCGTTTGTACTGCTGACACCAAGTTCTCCGTCCACTCTACCACCTGGTTGGAAACAAGCGCTCTGCTGTGCTTGATTGCTATAGTTCAATTCTGATGCATCATTTACGTCAGGGTTCCTATGTGCTGTTGGGGAGGAAAAGTGGACATCTTCGTAATCCGCAGGGTAATTTTCAACACTTTCCATGGAATCCTCATCTGCACTGCGACCGACTGTGTCCATTGCTATAACAGAAGATGCACGAGCTGAATCTCTAGCAGATGAAAGGCCAACAGCTTGATAGTTTCCTTGTTGGAATGGATCAGTCCTGTTAACATCTATATCTATTCCAAAACCAAATGAATGGCTGGGACCAGCCCCAGATGTATCTCTCCTATATGATGAATGATACATATCCGAATCACGAGAACGTTTTGAAGGCCCGGCTGAATAGTGCGTACCATCGTCTACTTCGTCACCATCACGGTCAATTACAGTTCCCTCTACGCTATCAGCCTGCTGCACTTGTAACTGTGGCCTGTCAACTGTACTCCCACCACCCTCCAAGTGACGCTTCCTCGTACTTGGGCCCCGTGATTCAAATGAAGCTGCCCGGTCACCTACCTCACTGCCTGAAGGCTGTCCAATCCTTAAATCTCTTCCCATGGCTTCATCCCGAAATTGTCCGGAGAACACACCTATGTTTAATTGAGTAGATTCTAAAACCCCAGCCATTGTAAGATTTAAATCAACACCGATATTTGACACTGATTTCACCTCATCTATTGCAGCTTCATCAGGTCCCTCAGGCTGCTCTTTTTCCATATCATCAGCAGGAACCCATCCACTTATTCCACTTGCTGCACTTACCCCTCGTGTCAATTCCATCTTCTTGCTTGTTTCAGGGGTATCAATGTTGTTTGGAGCCAAACGAGCAGGCCGAGGGACAGTAAGAAAATCCCATATTCTAACTGTAGCACCACATAAGCTACAATCCAACATAGGTGACCTAGATTCACATCTCGACTCTGGAAAAATTATCTTATTCTTCCCAGTGTCTTTTTTGGCTGCAGTGATGGCATTTTTGTTTGTTCCAAGATTCTGAGAAGGCAAGCCTCGATTCACATTAGGACCAAATGAGTAACCATCTCTCGCAGATTGGGCAGAGTGTTCTTCGCAGTCTTGAATGTTAAGAAGCCATCTTGGTTCCCACCCGCACAGGCTAATCAGCTTTTGGGCCTGTAAACAAAATATTTAGACCAAAAAGGTACAGCTGAATAATCTAAGTCTACTTTGAGCAGCAATAACAATGTATCAGCATGAATTAAACAACTATAAATCTTACTTGAGAATAAAAAGAAAAAGCATCGGCCCGGGATAACTCTAGTCCTGGGGTGCAACCTT